GATATTGCTTCAAAACCGATCCGATACCGATCCGATATTTTTACTGATTTTAAATCACCCCCGTGTGAACCAAATGTAATTAAGAAATTAATATTTTTTATGCAAAAAATCGAATTATGAATTTAATTTAATTTTTTTATTTCTACAATTATGACTATAATAAAAAAATATATATTTAATGATATATCCATTTTATGTGGAATTATAAAATTATAATATATTAGATCTTTTTAATAAATATGAGAGCCTCTAGATTTTCTGGAAATAAGCTTCTACGATATGGACTATCTATGTCTCCTGCCGTATTGAAGGTAGACTCAGATGATTCCGCAGATAACGCATTTTGCAAAATTATCTTTGTCCTTTGTAAAATATTTTCCATAATTCAGATACCATATTTAAAAAAATTCTTTTATTTAAAGTATAAATAAAAAAATTGGCGTTATTTTAAAAGATTTAAAATAAATAAAACTTTGGGTGTTCCTTTTTATTTTTATAAAATAAAACTTTTAAAATACTATAAATCTATTTTAAAAAAGAAATAAAATTTAAAAAAAATTATTTAGAAAATATTATAATAATGTCAAATAAATATACAAAACATAAAATAATAAAAAAAGAAAAGTAAAAAGATCGGATCGGTTTTTTACAGGTATCGGCCCGATCCGATATTTTCGGAAAACGCTAAATATAGATACCGATCCGATATTTAATATCGGCACAACCCTAATCGTAAATAATGTTATGACAGGACGGATATGGGCTTCTGACACAGAAGTCAGGGCAATGGCCACAATGCTTAATACTCCTATTTTTACATATTTAAAATATAATAATAACTTTGTATGGGCCCGATATGACCCATTTTATATTCGCGATAATATTAAAAAATTTTAAAATAATTTTATTTATATAAAAAATGGAGGAAACCATTTCGAAAATGTTTTTGATTGCAATCATTTATCTTCGCTCTAATCATTATTTAATACATCTTTATTAGTGTTAAATAATTTTTATTATAAAATTATAAATACTTTATTATTATAAGATATATTTTTCATAATATATATTTTTGCAATAATTTATCATCCATCAAGTCATTATTTAATGTTTCCTTATTAGAATCAAATAATTTTTATTATAAAAATATAAATACTTCATTCATATTATAATTTATATTCCTCATAATAAATATTTTTGCAATAATTTATCATCCATCTAGCATTATTTATATTTCCTTATTAGGATCAAATAATTTTTATTATAAAAATATATATATTTCTTTCATATTATACTTTATATTCAGCTGATATATTTTTTTTATGAAAGTTGTAGTTTATAAATAAAATTCTATATATACATTATAATGTGCATTATATGATAAATAGTTATATCAATAAAGTTCTTCGTCTATTTGCTTATTAGTTTATGTGACCCAATCCATATATAAGTATAAATTAATATAGAGATGGATTTTTTTAAAAATATTATATTAGGTAAACAAAATAAGCATTATGATTAAGTCATTTAAGTTAAGAATTTATCTTACCATTTCTTTGCATTATTTAAAAATGGTAGGTAATGATTTTTAGAAGGTAAGGTAGAAAAGGGAGGTATCATAAATTAATATTGATATAGGAAATCTGAGGAAAGGTCAAATCTGGATAGTTATGAGATTGTAGTCTTCGATTTTGGACCTTAAACTTAAATTTGTTTTTATTATATAAATTTCATACTGTGTAAATTAGAATATTAGTAAGGATATTTTTACTTCCTTTACAAATAATAAATATAATATTCATATATTGCCAAGGCAACCCACATAGCCTAAAATAATCTGAACCATATCACCCCCACTCTTTGGTATGAAATACAGACTAAAAATATAAAATGCAGACTAGATAGGCAGCATTGGGTTATAAGATATGCCGAATTTTGTGAAAAATAAAAAGAACAAAACAATCAGATTTTCAATTTTAAAAAAAGGTATGTACGGGGATTCCAACCAAGATTTTGAAGGTAGGTAGTGTAACATATAACCAATAAGACTACGCTACATAATTATAATATTCAAGTTTATTTGTATATAATTATAAATAATCGACTATTCAATTATATGCATTTTAATATATATATATTAAAAATAGAAATTATATAAATCCTTTACTTTATTGCTTAATGGTGTTTATTTATTTGATATATCCCAGTATTCAACTTATTAATCTAAAAATTCAAAAGAACTCTTAAAATGAAACAAATCAAAGCAATCAAAGATTATAATTAGACAATTAGGGTGTATATAATTATTGTCACTATATTATAATATTAGTAATTTTAAATACTTGTCATGAAAACTTTTACTTTTAATTTATCGCTTCAAAAACATTGGAGTCCATTTAAATCAAAATCTCACAACCCATCCATGGGATTTTGATGGTGTGAGATTTCGAAATCTCACAGATCATTTTCACACGTTACACCGGGTTCAGGTTGGGTTTAAGCATTTTTGAATTGATAAAAAAAAATCTATATTTAAATCATAATTAAAAAACTATAAATAAACTTGATATAAAAAATTAATCTTTTATTTTATTTAGACGTATTTCTTTAAATTAACAATATCCAATATAATAATTTTTACTTTGATTTGTTCACTTTTATTTTCTTCTAAAATAATCTTTGAGAATTAGCTAAAAATTAAAAATAAATGGCGTAAATGAATTTAATTGTTAAAATTTATTAACACTCCAATAGAAATCTTTGAGAATAAATTTTAAATGGCGTAAATGAATAAAGTTGTTTAAAAGTTTTTAACACTTCACTTAATTAGAAATTTGAAAATATTATAAAATCTCAATTAAATGATTAATATTTGTATTTACAATTATACAAATATCTTAATATATGATTTTAATAAACAATACACTGAACCCAGTTGAAGCTGGGTTCAAGTAAATTTCCTGGGTTCGGTTTGGGGTTTTGAAAATTTTATAAACGGGGTTCAGGTTCGGTTCGAATCCCTGGTTGTAAAGTGTTGTCAAAAATAAGGAAGTTTTGCAAGAAATTGCAATTTCAAGTTTATTTATAGACAAACAACGAAGGCGTATATATTGGACAAAGAAGGATACTGGGATAAACTAGTCTGTACTGACTTTTTTGGAATTTATTTATAACAAAATTATAATTGTAGAATTGGATACAATGATATTATTCTGACGTACCAGAAATATTTTGGGATATAAAATATAAATTTAATTCTCAACTTTTATCTTTAATGAAAATGATTTGAAAATGTTAAGATGCATATTAATAAACGAAATAAATTTTGTTGCCGAGAATATCATTATGCAACAAATCTTCTGGATCCTAGATATTATGATGTGATATTAACAGACAGCGAATTAACAGTAGCTTTAAATTTAATAAATATTATTTCAAGCCAAATTAATTGCGATATTAGAAAAATTATGGGTAATTTAGCAAAATATTGTTCAAAAAAAGGTTTATATAAAGAATCTGGCATTTGGGAGAGATCGATACATTCCAAACCACTCATATGGTAAAAGGGGTTGTGTACAAATTAGTGTTGTTAAAAGGCTCATTTGAGCCGATTTTTAAAAACGGTTAACTCAATATTTTATTAGAAAAAATATTATGCAAGCCTTAAGATTTTGCTCATAGGTGGCACAAAGGTTTGAACATCTATTAACAAAATCTCGAGGCTTAGACAAATTTTTCTAGCTAAAATAATGAGTTAGCTGTTTTCAAAATCGGCTCAAATCGAGCCGTTTAACAACACTAGTACAAATCAATCCCTTTGTCAAGTGGCAATAAGATGTATTTCGATACCACCCTCAAGTGTTTCGTCAGAAAGAATCTGGTCAGCATTTAGAAAAATTCATTCAAAAACGATAAATAGAATAAAAAATGAAAGAGTTGAAAAATTAATATCAATCAGGCATAACATATATTTAAAGGATCATACAAATACATCATGTTCAGGATATCATCAAAAGGTTCAGATTCCGATTTATCAATATCAAGTGATAGATATTTCAATTGTACCCCATGACGATGTTGATACTATTACATTAGCATCCCATGAATTTTAAATGTAATTTATAATACATGCTTTTTGTAATTATTAAAATTATTCAATAAAAAAACGAAATATTTACAGTGTATTTTTATCATTATTGTTTAATTATTTTATTTTCCCTTAGTTCCCCAAATTTAATAGTTATTCAATAAAAAAATGAAAGGTTTAAAGTGTATTATGTGGTTATTTATTAATTTCCCGTTATTTCCCATGAACCAATTTTCCCGGGAAATTTACATCTCTAATTGTAAATAATCATAGAGACATTATTTTCAAAATAAAACTATTTATAAATAATTTCCTGATAATCAAAGGGTTAGACATTCTATTAGCAAACTTATATTCATGCCAAACAATATACTATAATAATGAATTCATTGTAAATGTGGGGGTTGGGTTTTTAATTGAATTCATGTTCTAATAAATAACTCTTTACATTCACCATATTTTGTTAGTTGGTAGTAGAGCATTAACAATTTAAGTTATTCTTTTTAAAATTTATGAAGGTAATTCCATTATAATTAAAAAGATGTGATAAATGATGGAAGAAATTTTTTAAGGAGGGGGCAGGTATAGGTTGGGGGGGGGGTGTATCCAGTGAATATCATGTCATGTAGAGATTGGTGGGCTATACGATAACTTTTAAATAAAGTTTCATATAGTAATACAATTTGAACATTGAATAGTCTGATTTTAGTTTTACCTAAACTAAATAGGAGATAAGGTATGATGTGGGCTAGGTTTAGTCAAACATGATATCAAGGATTCGTTTAATTGATCTAATGTTCAAATTTGACACGGACAAGAATCTACCCATTAGCTGGTTTTTTTAACCTATCGACTTCTTATTATAATTGTCTTCCAATAAGACATTCATCAATATGATTGCATAAATTATTACCCAATTACGACGAGCACCATGAGAGCCGATCCACCCATGAGCATAGCAGCAGCGACGGGCGTCCATGATGTGGAAACGGAAACCACGTTGGTTAGGGTGGCGAACATGGTGGCAAGTAGAACTCGTCCCGCCAATTGAAAGTAAGATTTGGGTTTGTTGCCCCCAACACTAGGCATGCCAGCAAAAACAGTCTTCTTACGGGTTTGATTATCGGCCCGATCGTGATCTTCTGCAAGGATTAGACACAGACCTCCGCACACCGCAACGTTTCTGTGAAAAAATATATGTATATTGTCATTGTGAGCAAAAATAGTGCTCAAATTAGTAGACGTGAGACAAGTTGCAATATAGTAAAATATCGTAGTTTAGCTTTTCCTATTCCAGACGTTTTTTTAGAGATTAAACTTTTTTATTATACGAATTATTTTTAAATATAAAATATAAAGTCAACCTATTTTAAAAAGACAACACTGAAAAGTGCGATAAAATAGATAATTTATAAAAACACAGATTAAAAACCATAAGGTTTGCAATGGGCTGAATTTTAGCCGACCAGCCCACACTAAGGTGGATGAGCTTAAAATGTAAACAATTGGGTGGATTAAAAATATTTCTAAAACATTGGGCGGAGGGTAAATTTCAAATATTTTTCAGGAGAAATTTCATTTTTTTTAATAAATTTTTAAAAAGCGGTTTCAAATTTTAAAAAAATAAATACAAATGTGAACTATATCATTTTAAAAAATATATTTTAAAAAAACAAATAAGAATATAATAAAAATTATATATAAAAAATATAAATATTTAAATTTTATATAGAAAAACATTAAAATTCCATGTCAAATCGATCAACAAAGGCACTTTTTCGGCCGACCCCTTTTAAAATTGTTAAAAATTTCTGGAATTATTTAGATAGGTAAAAAATGAGAAAGCCGTTTATTTTAGTTCTCTAACACACCTGGTTCTTGAGATATAGGGGCTCAAAGGTACAAAAAAGAGCCACTTTGGAATCTGTAAAATTTTTAAAATGCTTATATCTCAAAAACTATTTATAGTAAAAAAAATTATAATATATCATTTTATAGGTAAAGAAATTCTCTAATGGGCTAACAAAGAATAATAAATATTGGCGCCATTATAGACTTTTAACATCCGGTTTACCTTAATTGCTTTACCTGTATTTTTAAGCAAAATAGTGAGTTTGTTTTCGAATTTTTTTTTTGCTTTTTATTTAGACACCTTTTATAAATATATATACGATGTCAAAACCTTGGCGACGCTATCGACTTTTCCATAATATACATTTTTACCAAAAATTGAAGAAAAAAGTAGATGGCGCTAATGGTTAAAAAATATTATTATTAAGGAAAGTGAAAATATTGATACGTTTATTAGAATTGTGATAAAAATTTCCAGTACTGCCCTCCCCCCCCCTCCCACTATCATTAAAATGTTTTACATTTTTTAGATCTCTACTTTGCTACTATAGCGAGCGAATGACTTATTAGCTCGATAATATATAACAGCTGCAGTAAAAATATTAGGCATATATTCGATTATATTTTACAAAATAAATTGTTTAAAACGATCTCTCTTTCTGAGAAATAATTTTGACCTGTCCGTTCAGATTAATTTTATAGTTTGTCTACCAATAACAATCTGGATTTGGAGAATGCAAAAACATGTATTCTAGGTGTAAATCAATTAAAATTTTATTATATATCACAGATGGACGTACCAAATATTAAAATGTTGCAACCCATTTAATCTACAGAGACATGCTTATTATCGCGAGAATCTAAGAAAGATTCTACCTTGGATGACCCAAAAAAATTTACCATTCAATTTAGATATGTTAATATGCTCTTCATGGCGACAAAAATTATCAAACATTCCTTATACTTCAAATGACAATGTAGATATTGATTCTCCCCTTCATATAATTAATCAAGAGGCTATTGATAACATTAATATATCCCTACAATCAAATGGGGAATCTCTCATTAAAAGAAAACGCTTATGTGAAAAGAAATATTCGAAGAAAAAAATATCTAGAGTAAAAAAAAGTTTTAACGACTGAAATTATACCATTATCTTTCTTCATCAAATAATGAAAAATTCGATGAAATTGTAGACACCTTAAAAATTAAAAAAATTATATGAAAGATATTTATTATGGGAAATTTGTTCCATTATTAAGTGTCTAATGGGCATATGCCCACTCTGCTCCTCAGTTAATTAGTATATTTAATAGAAAATCAAAATTTTTTAATAAAAGGGAAAATATCTGGTTATTGATAAGCTAGCAGCAAAATTTTAACCATAATCCGTAATTTCATAAAGCGCCATCTATTTTTTTGTCAATTTTTAAAGTCGATAGCGTCGCCAAGGTTTTGATATTGTATATATATTTAGCAGAGGTGTCTAAATAAAAAACAATAAAAAAATTCGAAAACAAACTCACTATTTTGCTTAAAAATACAGGTAAAGCAATTTAGGCAAACCGGATGTTAAAAGCCTATAATGGCGCCAATATTTATTATTCTTTGTTAGCCAATTAGAGAATTTCTTTACCTACAAAATGATATATTATAATATTTTTTACTATAAATAGTTTTTGAGATATAAGCATTTTAAAAATTTTACAGATTCCAAAGTGGCTCTTTTTTGTACCTTTGAGCCCCTATATCTCGAGAACCAGGTAGCGAGCTAAAATAAACAGCTTTCTCACTCTTTTACCTATCTAAATAATTCCAGAAATTTTTAACAATTTTAAAAGAGGTCGGCCGAATCGTGATCGATTTGGCGTGGAATGGCCCTAAAGAGAGCTTAAAAACACTAGAGGTATTAACATTAATTAATAATATAAAATATTGTTTAGTTAAATTTAGGAATAATATTATACGATTTGTCTATATAAATTTATAAAGATTAATATATCCAATTTGGTATTCATATATTTAATTTAACTCGTATTTAAAAATAGTAAGTTAAACAACCTTTAACATTTAAAGACTATTATTCAAATTTATTGTATATATATATTATGAATTTGATACTAGAGTTACAGATATAAATATATTTTGATACTTTTAATATTTTAAAATAAAATTTATTAACCAACTCCCTGCCTACCTCGATAACAGGAGTGAATGCTTAGGAAATTGGACCGACCAGATTTCAAGTCAATATCCATCGTCGACAAAAACTAGACATTTAAATATAAATTTCAAATTATATTAAAAGATTATGATTTCTGAACTAATTTTAAACATATTATTAGTGCGCTACTTCGCAACTTTCTAAATTGGTGTCCATCCACAAAATGGAAGGAATAAAAATACTCCCATTGCAGACCTCTAATGCTCTCACAAGGTTACCAAGTGCATTTTAACCAGTATATATGAAAAATTATTAGCAATAAATTTTGGCCAACCTTACGATTTAATTGTAACTGAAAGCATTTATTCTCAAATTTTATCAACGTTTAGTGTTTAATTGCATATTAATTTAATCCGCTTGGTAGACAGTATAATCAAATAAAATTTATTAGCAAAATAAGAAAAAACTGGAACTATGCCAAAATATAAAATATAGAAGAGTTAAATATCTGGGTTGTGCAAATATTTAGTACCTGACTTAGTAATTCTTTAATTAATCTCGCCCAACCACCAAAAATTAAAGGAATTATAGCTAAATAAGTATGATATCAGCCTATAGCCAAAATTCTGGAAGTATTAGATCTGATATTTAGTTCGTATTTAGTACGTTTTAGTGCTTCAACCCATTAAATAGGTATTTTAAAGAAGAACGTATTGGCAAAATAATAAATAATTACCATAATTGGAATTAAAATAAATATTTATAAAAGAAAAACTAAAGATATAATTTTTTTTGAAGAGATATAGAATTAAAAGAAAAAGATATGGATGTTATAAAATATTTCAAGCAGAGAATCTATATCACCAACAATGTTCACATCCTCTAGGTGTCATTTAACAATTTTCAATGGAATAATAGCCTTTAAGGTCCATATTATAGTGTTGTCCACATGAGATACCGGAAATTGCACTGTCAATTAATGTTTCATAACTTTGACTGCTAATTAATAGATATATTCATGTACAGAAGTGCCAATTTTTTCAGATTTATTACTCACCCTATATAAGGTCCATATAATGGTCGTCCATATGAGATACCGGGAATTGCACCATCGATAAATTAACGTTTTATATCTTTGATGTGCTAATTAATTGATAGCTATGTATAGAAAACTTTGAAACGTTAATGATCCTTAGAAGAGATTGAGAAATACTTTTATATTTGAAAATTGCTATTGTTCCAACTCTAAAAGGTTGTCTCCACATGTAAAGGAAAAAGAGAATTGTGAAGGCAGAATATCTTCTGAGGTGCAAAAAGGAACCTACAGAGTATTTAGCACACTGAAATTTGTAACAATGTATTAACTCTGACCCAAACTCAATGAGAATGTAGAAGTCATAGATTGGTCTAGAATCGATTTCCAAAGACCAAACTAAATTGCAAATAACAGACTTACAAAAGGCCAAAATATAAAATGAATCAGAAGAAACAAATTGCCAATGTAAGTTTATATATACTAAAGTTGCAAGTTGGTCTGGAATTTGATTTCCAAAGATCAAACCAAATTTTAAATAACAGACCGAACCATAGGCTACAATTTAAAGACTGAAAAGGGTTTAGGTCCAAATCAATTTTTATTTTGGTATCACCTGTATAAAACATGAAAAATTCATTAAATTATTACAAAATTGAAAGAGGTGTAATAATTTTTAGGGGAGGAGAGGTGTGCTAAGCAATGCATAACTCTTCCCTTCTAATTGGTGCCAGTTATTTATAAATAACTTTCAAAATAAAAAAATATGATAGTGAACTCAACAGCAACAATCTTTGGGAACAGAAGGGAGAGCAAAGTGGTGCTAAGCACCAGTGGTGAACAAAATAAAAATTTATAAATTTCAATAATTATAAAAATAATGAATTTATTTTAATAGTATTTTATAATCATTTTAATAATATAATTTAAATAATGGTATATATAATCACCGTAATCAAGAAATGAGCGTTTTCGTATATCCTTAATGTTAATTTTTATTTTTCTTATCAACTTTCCTATCTCCTTAATGTTAATTTTTATTTTTCTTATCAACTTTCCTATCTTCTTAATGTTAATTTTTATTTTCCCTATCAACTTTCCTATCTTCTTAATGATAAATAAATCGATGGAGACTATATCTCTCTAATGTTAAATTTTAAGAAAATTTTTTGTATATAACGGGATTCGAACCCATGACTTAACGATTTAAAGGCAAACTTCTTCCCACTCAGCCACCTTCTATATTAAATTTTGTAATATAATCTTTCTTATATGTGTTATTGTTATATTATTTTATTTTTATTGGCTTATTAATCTTTATTTTTATTGGCTTATTAAGCTCTTATTTTATTGGTTTATAGTTATTTATATTATTTCATTTTAAAATCAACCATTTTTTATTTTAATTAAAAAAATCGTAACGAAATGATTACAACAGGACATAATACATCTGCCAAAGGCCCCAAAATGTAGGAGACAGTAATTAAAAAGATGTTTAATTTTTATAGATATTATTACAGAATAAATCACCACCAGGCTGGCACAAGATTTAAATCATGTTTGAGCTTACCTCTGGTTATCAGAAAATAATTTTAAAGTCTCAACTGACCCATACTCAATCTGCATTTCACATGTTGATATTAATAACGAAATGATTACAACAGGACATAATAGTATATCTGCCAAAGGCCCCGGCATATAAGAGACAGTAATTAAACAGATGTTTAATTATTTTCTTTTTTAACTAAGCAAACTTTATTTATTAATTTGAGAAATGTAGGTAGATATTGATAAATTGGTATTGTATGTCATTTCCAGAGTTCAAATATTGTATGAGATAAAATTTTTATACTGGCTTATTTTGGGGTGGTAATATGAGATATATTTTTATTTTTCAATTGGCTAAATATAATTTAAATTTATTTGTTAAATCTAATTTATGATTACAACAGGACATAATAGTACATCTGCCAAAGGCCCCAAAATATAGGAGACAGTAATTAAAAAGATGTTTAATTTTTATAGATTACAGAATAAATCACCACCAGGTTGGCACAAGATTTAAATCATGTTTACCCCTGGTTATCAGAAAATAATTTTAAAGTCTCAACTGACCCATACTCAATATGCATTTCACATGTTGATATTAATAACGAAATGATTACAACAGGACATAATAGTATATCTGCCAAAGGCCCCAGCATATAAGATACAGTCATTAAACACATGTTTAGTTATTTTCTTTATTAACTAAGCAAACTTTATTTATTTATTTGAGATTCTTAAGATACAGAATATTTAAAAATGTAGGTAGATATTGATAAATTGGTATTGTATGTCATTTCCAGAGTTCAAATATTGTTTGAGAATACTGGCATATTTTGGGGTGTTAATATGAGATAAATGTTTATTTTTCAATTGGCTAAATATAATTTAAATTTATTTGTTAAATCTAATTTATAATAAGTACTTGGGATTAGTGAGGAAGGTTAATTTTCTGGCATGGGAAGATATTGATAAATAGGTATTTTAAACTATTTGCAAAGTTCCCATATTGTGGTTGAGATAAAAAAAAAATTTTTACTTTCATAAAATCTTTATGTAAGGAGTTAATGTTTTACAGCGACATGCTTTTGATCAGGTTATCCTGGCTATTGCCGATGCCTCAATTACTACCAGATTTTTCTATATAGACAATCTCCTTATTTAATGGAATTTACTTCCAAATTTTAGAAAATTCACTGAATGTTCGCAAAAAAAATTTACCTGTAATAGTTTATGATTTTATTATTCCCATCATTCTTGATGGGTTAGCAACTAGTATAAATATATTTACTGATAAATCTATTAAAATACTTAAAAAAGATATATTTACTGAACATTTTATAATAAACCTGAAAATACTGATATATTATTATGAATACTCATGAAATTAATAAAATACTGATAATTCTGTTATTATACTGAAAAATAAAACCGGAGAAATAAATAAAAGCCAAATAAAATGAACATTAACATTTTTTTGGGATTATTATATTTAACTTTTAAAAAAGGTATATCATTTAAAATTTGGGTAACTCACTGAAACTCAGGAAAATTTTAAATATTATTTTTTTTAAATATTTTCTTTGTTAATAAAAATAATAAATATGTGATAGCACAAATCTTTAAAATTTAATATATTTAAAGTTATAACAATCTTAATGAAAATGAATATGATCATTACTCGGTCAATCACAGCAGAAACTTTATAAGCCCAGATGATATATCAACCCACACTCAATATATTGAGCATTTATTGAGGGATCTTAAAACAAACATCCCTGGAAAAAAATATTCCTCTCATTTATATATATGTGTGAATATTCTTATTTTTGTAATATTAAAAATATGTCAAATTTAAGTAAATTAATTAAATTCTTAATTGATATAAATTTATGTTTTTCCTTACGATTAAAATTATCTATATTATCAATTTACATATTATGTTTTTCAACTAAATTGATTAATTATCTAGTATTTGATTTAATAGTCCTAACTTAGTAGCATCCAATATAGCACATACCTTTTTACAATTCTTAAATAATATACTCTATCTAATGTAAAATAAAATATTGCAAAAGTTTTAACAATTCTATAATTTTACATTAAAAATGAAAAAGGTGTTTGCTATATTAAATGCTATTAAGTTAAGACTAATGAAATTCTTAAAACTTTTGTAATTAAACTTTGAATTGAATTATTATTACATCAAAAAATTTTCAGCCATATCCACATGATCGCATATTTATTATTTTTAAATAAAAAAAATATTAAAAATCTCCCCAAGTTTCAGTGAGTCACCAAAATTTGTTATTAAAAATTTTGGATTAAGCTTACCCCTAAAAAAATACATTTTGGGCTGGTTTGATCTTATAAATTAATAAAACTTAATAGCCAGGCTCAGACCAAAAGATTAAATTTTTAGGGATCTAGTAAAAATACAAAAAATGCTAACAGATAATTTAACACAAAAAACTTCTTAAAGGCAACTAAGTAATCAATAAAATGATGAACAAATTATTTGCAAATTTATAGTTTTGTATACAAAACACAATTTGTTTTAACTAACATAAATTTATTATTGTATTAATAAATAAAGGCACCATATGAAATATTTATGTTTTAGCTAAAACTTAAGAATAATATTAATAAGAATATTACCTTAGGAAAAATCTGAGATCCCATATTATATTGTAAGCAATTGTCTATATTAAAATAAATTATTGATATATATACTAATTATAAATTAGCATAAGAAAAAATCTTAAAATATCATAATCCAACATTTCCAATAGGATGTGTGAATAATATAAAATTATTTATATATTCAAGATTTTGTTTAAAAATATTATAAGTAAAATATTGTTTTTACATATAAATAATTATGTAGCTTGAATATTAAATCAATTCAGTTAATCTATTTAAAAATTCACTATAATCTAAAGGTACAATAAAAATATAACCTGTAAGATTACAACTCCAAAAAGTATTCCAACAGCCACTTTAGTGTATTTTTGGATTAAAATTAAGGTTGAAGGAACTAATTGTCCAAGTAAATTAATGATGACAAAGCATGACCCAAAAAAGGATCCAAAATCTATATAGTATTATAAATATAACATGGTATAATTGATCGTACGCCATGAAGAACTCATATAATCTCTTTGTTCACCCCATTGAAACCACATTCTAAAGCCATCTTCCACAAACGTACTAACAAGGCAAAATCTAGCAATAAATGGCAGAACATGTTTAGTGTGTCTTAAAATCTGTAATATATTATTTATTATAATAAATTTATATTAAAAACTTCATCAGCAACATCTTCAGCCTTGTTTAAAATTTCCTTTTGCGAAACCATAAACTAAAATAATTGGTAAACGTGTTACAAAATTAATATCCTCCGAGAGTTGAAATAATTGATTGAAATATAAACTGTCCTAGTTTTTATTTTTATCTGTGTATATATGATGCAAATATTATCAATAAATATATACACAACATTTATAATAACTTTCCTTTGGCATAAAAAAATCAATGAAATGGAATTCAAAATAAATATACTAGTAATAGTAAAATATTTTACACTTTAATTTAAAATAGGGAACGTTAAATGAGAGAAGGGGGGGGGGGGTATTTTAAAGAATTCTTTCATCTTATATATGCTTATACAAAATAAAATAGAATATTCAATATAATTAATCAACAAAAGTTTAAATCTAAATAAATTATTGATGTAAACTATAAGCATGACGATTTATTAGATTAATAAGCTTTTATTAATAATTAATATGACTACTTAGACAAGTATAAGTCTATAATTATTTACAGCACTATTAAAGCATCGCGATACTGTACCTGTAATAAATTATATTAAATGTTATTTATTATATCTTGTAAAAAAATGGAACATTCGAATTAAAAAATTAATAAATATGATGTGATAATTTTGAAATTAATAAACGATATTTAAAATAGCTAACAAGTAGTCGCGTCGTTTTATTATAATGGCAATGGGAGAAAATAATTCCTTAAATGGAGATAATTCTTTAAATGGAAATAATTCCTTAAAATGAGATTCAGAAAATTTGGCGGATAAAGGAGAATTGGCGGATTTATCTACGCTTAAATTTGATAAATTCGATGGCGAATCTTCTATTTTTCGATATTTTTTTCAATGGGAAGCCAGTTTTCGGTTAAAAAACGTAAGCCCATCTGCATGTCAATATAAAGATATATTTTTAACATATTTTGGTAACAAAAATAATTGGCAAGAGTTGTCATTATCTTAATGATATTGACGAGCGTTTACACCATCAGTTTATGGTTACAATCTCAGGGGGCTCAACTAAAAAAATTTTAAGGAGGCTTTGACCTCCTATTACCTAATTTGCTAGCCTTCAGCCCGCTTTTGCCCAGGTTTTATATTAATATATTATACTTTTTAAAATTTGCTATGAACAATTATTCTGAATTTCATATTTTGTCATAGGCGTAGCCAGGGGGGCAAGGGAAAATATTTCACCCCCCCCCCCCAGAAATTTATCACTTTTTGTCAATATCATCTTAATAATATAAAATATCCCCCTTAGTCCTTCCCCCACTCCCTGACCCCCAAAAATGAATGCATATATCATGAACAATAATTTGAAAGAAAGAATGTAAAACATGATTTATACATTTTTGGAAAAAAACATTTATATATAAAAAAAGTGAACAAAAAATGTTTTTTAAGAAATGGAATATAAATCAAAGATAAGATTTAAGAAAAAAGTGAAATGTATTATAATTATTAATAATAGATCCATGTAATTCTAAATAATATAATACATCAAATATAATTTTTTATAAAGTGAGTAATTTTATATTATTTATCTTAATAAAAGTAAAATATAATTATAAAACTATTGATAAAATTAAATCATAAATTAAATTAAAAAAATAAAAGCAAAATACAAACAGTTCAATATTATATGTCCTAGATTTACAGTATATCTAATTTATCAATTTTCATATGACAATCATATAATTTTTACCAAGAGCGTATTATATATTTTACATAAGACTATAAAATATAAGGACATCAGAAAATATCTTTTAACAAAATTGTGGGATGAATAATATGAAGATTAATTTTTAATATCATTTTTATTTAAAATATAATATTATAAAAAAAAGACTGTTAAAATATAAAATGGAAAATACACAAAGAATCATAACAAAATCAGGTCTGCCCTAATATTATTATAAGAAATAATAAATATTACCTCGTATTATTGGAGATAACTCCAAAAATTAAGTTATGGAGAAAAAATCTCTGACGTACAATCTAAATTGAGTTTCTATGTAAAATATTAATAATTTGTAATATTTTGTAAATAGATATATTATAAGAATATTTAATGTTTTAATATGGCATTCTACAGTTGCATAGAAAACTTAAATTATAGGATTATCTGTTTGTATAAAAAAAATAAATAATAAATCATAAGTTATAATATTTTGTGAATAGATATATTTAATATAATACTTTGATATCCAATACTTGCATAGGTTGTAAAATTTTGTGATGATAAATTATAAGAATATTTAAGGTTTTAATATGGCATCCTATAGTTGCATAGAAAACTTGGATTATCTGTTTGCATATACGTAACCAGGATTTTCCTAAGAAGGGGGATTTAAAACATTTCTGGGGCTTCGCACCTAAACACCATTTTGGAAGGCCTTTGGCCCGCTTTTGCCAGGCCTTCGGCCGGGTTACCTTAGTCTATATAGAGTCATAAAATATTTTTACAAGATAGAAGGTTATTTTATAAGCTTGGAACAAATATGAATTATATTTTTCAGTTAATGTATAATATAATAAATTACTTGTATATACATTAATATAAAAGCATGGTAATAATTTATTCCAAACAAGTATAAGAAATTTATATATAATAAGTAAGTAGACATATAGTTGATATTCCTCTATTATATAGAAATGGTTACAAAATACTAGGTAAAATTTCACTTTTACAGACGTGTTTGACACCAGAGAATTATTACAGTTAATATATTAAAAATTTTACTAATCAATGCTCTTGATAATAAATATAGCAACAATTTGAATTCAATTATTTAACGCCATCTATTTATATAAAAAAATATAGTAAAAATTAATCTTCATATTATTCATCCCACAATGTCTTTAAAAGATATTTTCTGATGTCCTTATCAATATTTTATAGTTTTCTGAAAAATATATAATTTGTACTTGTAAAAATTATTTGATTGTCATATGATAATTGATAAAATTGATATACTGTAAATCTAAGACATATATAATTCCACTGTTTGTATTGATTGTGCTTTAATTTTTTTATTTAATTTATGATTTAATTTTATCAATAATTTTATAATTATATTTTAGTTTTATTAGGATAAATAAATTAAAATTACTCACTTTATAAAAAAATATATTTTATATATTATATTCATGGCCGTAACCACGGGGGGGGGGGGCCCGGCCTCCTGAAAAAAATTTTGGTCCCCAAACCTGGCCCCCAGAAAAAATCTCCCAAAAAATTTTCTGCCCCCCCCCCCAATTAGATAATTTTTTTTAGAATTGATTATTTTTATATATTTAATATAAATTTTGAATATTTATTCTACAAACATGTCTAGTTTGTAAAATTTTTACTATCCTGTTTTATTTTTATTTTTACCCAATATTAAATTATCATTCATTCATTTTTTTTGTTGTGTATAACATTTTAAACAATTACGCGAAAAAAGATATCCATGGAAGGCAAAGATCATTTCAAAAATCATGTTATAGAGGCCGAGACTGGTTGGAGTATAATGTAGAAACTGACGCTGCCTTTTGTTTTCCATGTAGGAAATACTTGTGTAATCCAAGTGATGAATTTGGACAAACGGGAATCAAAAATTGGAAAAATGCGTTAGCTGCCAAGAAGGGACTGCTAAAACACGAGAGCTCAAAAGCTCATTTAAATTCAATTACAATATGGCATGATAAAAATCAAAACAAAAACAAAGGTACAATAACTAAAATGTAGGGAGGTGATCAAATTAATCGTAATCAATATTATATTAAATCAATATTTGATTTGATGCTATTTCTTAGCATACAAGAGCTACCTTTCCGTGGGACTGATTCAACAAATATTACTGATGCTGCAAAAGATGAAAACATAATTTATTCTACTGGGATATTTATAGCAATGTTTTCCTACACCATCCAAAAAGATTCTGAATTAAAAAAATTTATGAAATTTATACCCCAAAATGCCCAGTATACATCACCACAGATTCAAAACGAAGTAATATCCATTATGGCAGATATGGTGCTTGAACATATTTCAGACAAATATAATAAAAGCGAGATGCCTTTTTTTTGTCTTAAGGCTGATGAGACAAAAGATGCTTCAGGTTGTGAAAACCTGAGCATAATAATTCGCTATATTTTTTCTAGAGAAATCCAAGAAAATTTAATAGGAATCATTAATTTAGAGTGTCTTTCTCTAAAAGCATTACAGATTGCATTTTAAAGCAACTTAATGATCTAAATATTAATTCAGCTAATATAATAAGCCAGGCATATGATGGTGCAAACGTTATGTCTGGCCGAAATGGAGGAGTGTAAACACTTCTTCAAAAAAAAATTAATAAAAATGTTCCTTTTATACATTGCTACAACCACAAGTTGCATCTTGTGGTTCAAAATTGGTATAATAATATTGTTATTATTTCTAATTTTTTTTAATTTATCAAATGCATTGTATAATTTTTCCAGGCGTTTTAACGTATCCTGTAAATATACAGGCCACACCCTTAAGAGACTTTTAGACCAGAGGTGGACTGGTCATTTGTAAACATCTCGCATTATTTATGAGAATTTTGAGGCTATTGGTGAAGTATTATTTTACTTTTCTAATAGAACTCTTAATTCAGAGGTTTCAATTCATGATTTAGTCGAAGCCTCTGGTCTTTTATCTCAATGTATTAATATAAATTACATTATATTAGCCATCATAATTTATGAGATATTAATTACAATAGATCCACTAAATAAGTATCTACAATCAATAGGTACTAATCTAGTGGATGCTAAAAATTGTATTGATTCTACTATCAATATATTAAAAAATAAAAGAAGTGATAATTCTTTTGCTTTGATTATGATTAAGGCTGAAAAACTTTTATCAAAATTTAATCTAACTCCCCAAAAAGCATCACGGGTACGTAAACGCCTAAAAATTTCCAAGATTTTTTAGTTGATAGCAAACTAGAATTCGATTGTGAAAAAGACTCCAATTGGAGTTCTTTAAAAAGGATATATTATGAAATTATAGATAACTTTGTGGATCGTTTTTTAAACCGATTTACAGAAGATGATTAATCTTTTTTCATCTTCTAATACATTGTCCCCCCTTGATCCTGATTATTTTTTAACAGATA